GGATTTGTGGTGGACAAAGTGGCGCTGGGGCAGGTTTACTCTGAGTACTTCGGTTTCCCCTGCCAATCTTCATTCCACCAATTGCTCCACAATCACCCTCGCCTATCATCTGGGGCTAGTACAATAGGCCAGAAGTGGCCACACTACAAAGGACTTAGTTCCACCCCACTAGCAATAAAAAAGAAACATGCCCTACTCCAGACCTGTATATTTTTCAAAATTTTATCAGTTCACCGTTTACATGATCACAATTTATGTTGGTGAAATTGAATTTAATAAGAGCGGTTTACTGTGATATTGTTAAGTTTTCTAACGCACGAAATACAAGTCATATCATTCTGAACATCATATTTGATTGTCTCTCTTGAAACTCTAATCTTTTTACTTGCAGGATTGTGGTATAAAATTCTATTTAAATTTAAAAAAGTATATTTTAAGCAATAACCCAAAACCAATGATGACTATAATATAGCAGTGACATAGGAGCAGGTTAGTGCGCAGTTTTATTGGATAATGTTTAATTTGTTTCCACTTTTATATGTATGAATTCGTAATATATGTTCAGTTTAAGTGACGGAATGCTGACGGGATATTTTTGTTACTATAAATTATATTCGACTTACATTTCTGAAAAAAATTTCTTCCTGTCTTTCAAATTGTGAACAGGTCCTAATACTTCTTCCGTATTACGTAATGACTAATTCCATTATAAAATAATATTTTGATGTTTCTGTCAATTTATAATCTCTAATCTTGTCCCTGTCTTTTTTATGACTATTACATTGTTCTGGCTATTTCATTGCAAATGTCAGACAACCTTCACCTAAAGTAAAATTAGATTTTAGTTCATGACGACTGCATTTCTCTCTTTTGATGCTGACTATCTTCTCAATTAGTAAAATTTCGATCATGTTTTGCCTCGGTTTAGTAATATCAAGTCAGGAGTAAATAATATCACTTAATATTCCGAAATTTAACAATAGTTCTCTTTCTTAAATACTGTATTAAGAACGGCACGTGAATACCAGAAAAATGGAAGTATTTTTGTTGTAAATAAATTATTTATAATATACTAATATTTGACGATACAAACTATATTAATTCACAAGCGAAATATTAAAGTGACAGGCTTTAAAATTCCCTACAACGTTTAAGTGTATTCTGCATGAACCGGTCAGATAGGCCTCTGTGTTCTGGTTGTTGCCACAAGCAGGAGCAGAACAGGCCTCTGTGTTCTGGTTGTTGCCACAAGCAGGAGCAGAACAGGCCTCTGTGTTCTGGTTGCTACCACAAGCAGGAGCAGAACTATCTAAGTTACGTAATATACGGTTTTTTCAGTCCTTTCTTTGCGTTACTGGTACAGTGACGCCACTAAACCCAATTTATCACATTCTTCGTGATACCATGAAGTAATGTTCTTTCTAGTTCACTGCTTCCGGACATTAACATTGCCGTAACTATTTACATGAATCACTAATTTATTTTAATATTACGAAATATTTTGAGGCAGCTGTGAGGTCCGTGAAGCATTCTGATATGGAAGCGTTCATCAGTAAAGACTACTGGCGCGGGCGCGCCATAGCTCAAGCGGTTAGTCGCTGGCTTCCCACCGCGGCGGTCCGGGTTTGATCCCGGATCTGGTCAATTGGGATTTGTGGTGGACAAAGTGACGCTGCGTCGGATTTTCTTCGAGTATTTCGGTTTCCCTTACCAATCTTCATTCCACCAAATTTTCCATCGTCATAATCACCCGGGGCAGGCTACAATAGCCCAATCAGTGGCCGCTGTGCCGAGTGGACCCAGTTGCACTCCACCTCCCACTAAGCGAATTTAAAAAGAACATAAAAAAAGAAGGCTACTGGCGCAAAATGTTGAAAACAAATATTTTCTACACTTGTGTCAGGGAAAGAATGAACACGAGTGGCCTAAATTCATGTCCACTTCCTGCTCACTGCATACACTCTCTCTGTCAATAGCGTTACTTCTCTACTTTAAGGAAAGGGAACTGTTTATTTTATTACTACTTAGTTGTAATCGTTACTATCACTGATTTTAATATAATACGTGTTACAGTTAATATTATAACTTAAGAGTTAATATATGTATAATACAATTAAAGGACGTTACTTTTCAGTGGAAATATTTAAGAGACCATGCCGCAACACTAGAAGAATCGACAGGGAATCGGAAATAGTTGATAGGAGAACAGTTTGGCGAGAATATTAGTCAGCCTTCTTTGGCCCGACTTCGGTGTTCAGGTGTGACAGTTCTTGATACAGACTTCCCCCACCTCCAGACGCTTGTTAGTGCAGTGCTGAGCTGACGATCCGTCTGAAACGTCCATATTTCCTGCACTAACGTAAAATATTTGCAGGCGCTTACATATTCCAGTGTAATAATATTCAGAGTCTTCCTTCTCTTTAACAGAGCCATTTAATTCAGTGCCCAAAGTTCCATTTTACTGATTTATGAAGCTCCTAACATATTTACAGATCCTGAGAGCTGTGTATGCGTTACTGTACTTCAGGAGCCAGATGTTTGTTTGTATTGCAAACCGTGACATTTCTATACCAGTGATTCTTAAGTTAATCAGCTATAAATACAACATAAATTTACCATTTTACGACAGATTTATTTTCTGTAACAAAAATATCGCAGTATAATAATAAAATTGATATCACCTTGCTACAATTTGTCATACATTTCAATTATTTCAGGTCCAATTTAATAAAGCTTCAGAAATGATACCCAATAGAATTCCAGCGATAAAACATTGCAAAATAATTATCGTATTAACAAACAAGTCTGTGTTTTTGGGAATCCCCCATGCAACATACATTACGAACAATGTTGCAATTGACGAGGTTGATGAGATTAAGTTGTTTGGCTATTAGAATTATTCCTTTCTGCATATTACGACTCCACTAAGTCAACATGTGTGACATTTGTTCAGACTGATAAAGCTCACCAATTATAAGACAATAAAATGTACAGTAAGTCTTAAATGATTCTGTTATACAGAGTATCCCAGGAGGAAAGGTCAATATTCCGGGAGGTTATATTGTGGGTTATTCTAAGCTAGAAAATTTATATGTACATGTGTCCTATTCCGAACAGTTTCCGAGATAGAGCTATTTCACTGTCCAGTTCCAAATTGTTGATAAGAAAGAGATATTACCTACTGTTTCTAATACCGGTATTTATTCTTCAAGTGGATATGTTAGTACATTTTACCTAGTATAACACATTTTCGAAAATTCCACCTTCAACATCAGTGTATTTTTCAACTCTTGCGAGGACATGGCGTGTTGCTCGTCTGAGTATATCTTGACGTTCCTTTACGTGGGTGATATCATCCATTATGTGATCGAACACTTCTTCGCGTGTATACACTTTTCTTCTGTACACTTTACTCTTCATCCAACCCAATAAAGAAAAATCTAACGTGGTGAAGCCTGGAGATCTTGGTGGCCAGATTTTGGTACTGCACGAATGATCCACCAACCAGGGGAAGTGTCATTGAAATGTTGCATCACAAGTGGGTGTTATGAGAAGGGGCTCCGCCATGCTGAAAGTAGGTAGCAACCTGTGTAGCCAAAGGAACATCCTCTAGTTGTTCTGGAATCCATTTTGCAGAACATCTAGGTAATTACGACTCGCCATACGATCGTCTGAAATTAAAGGACGAACCAACATGTCATCGGTCATACCACACCACACATTGAGAGAAAAATGACTTTGGAAATTTGTTTCCACAGTACCACGTGGCTTGTCATAAGACTATCGTAGCTAGTGGTGGTAAAGTGGCGATGGGGCAGGTTTTCTACAAGTACTTCGGTTTCCCCTGCCAATCTTCATTC